GTTTGCCTTTTTCCGGAAATTATATTATTATATATCCTTGTGTTTTTCCGGAATGTTATTTATTCATTACTTTTCCGGAAACTTGTATTTTCTCTTTAATTAATTTCGTATTTTTCCGTATTTTATTTCTTTCCGGAATCTTGTATTTTCCTTCAGGTTTTTATTATTTTTTTATTGTGTTTTATTTATTTTATATTTTCCGGAAAATTTATTTTTCTCACTTTTTAGGAAGCGTGTTTTTCCGGAAATTTTATATACCGTATTTTTCCAAATACAGCCCCATTCTCAATTAGAGCCCCATTCTCTCATTCTCTAATACAGCCCCAGTCTGGAGGATGGTTGAAAAATAGAGCCCCATTCCCTATTAGAGCCCCACTCCCTAATACAGCCCCACTATTGTAAGTCTAAGTAAATAATAAATTGAGTCATCCTTAATGATCCTGATCAACAAACTATTTTGATCAAACAAATTTCTTTTTTATTTCTTAATCAGGATTTGAAAGTTCTCTTAATCCATCCAAATCTACAGATATCCCTCCAAATTCACTCAAAATTCACACAATATCCCCTTGAACCTCCTTATACTTGCACACTAATATCTACGATACTATAGAGCGAAAAGGGAGTGTCGTAAGGGAAATCATGAATCTCGAAATTATTTGAATTTTTAAAAATTTGACTTATCATGGAGATATCGATAATCAAGTAGAGGGTTAATAGATATCACTAATATCATCTTTCACCCAAACCCTTTTAATCCTACGATATTCTCTTAATCGAAATTACTATTCGACTCTTGTATTTTTAGACAACTGCATTAAAAGGGATATCTAAAGATTAAAAGGATTATCTGTAGATATCTAAGGATATCAAGGTGTGTAAACACGATATTGACTTAATTTTTAAAATCATCTGATATCCCTTAAATCCATCATATCTTACACAATCCCTTCAAATTCAAAAAATTCCTGATATTATTCGTAATTCTACGACATCTCTCCAAATCAACATCATCCACTTAAATCCACAAGTTAGTCCCCAAATCCTCTAAAAGCTTAATCCAGATTCTCGATAATGCTATATATCACCCAAAATCGCTCTATATTCCATAAAACCCTCCAAATCCCCCGATTGTGTTGACACAGAGTCAGTAGGAATTAAACGTCTTGGTAGAAAAAATTTAAAAAAATATAGTTGAAATATAGAGCCCCATTCTCTAATACAGCCCCAGTCTGGAGGACAGTTGAAAAATACAGCCCCATGGGGCTGTATTTGGAAAAATACGGTACCTATTTTTTTTATTTTTTCTGGAAATTGCCTTTGTATTTTCCGTAAAATGTCTTGTATGTTGCGGAAAATTTTTTGTATTTTCTTAATTAAACGATTAAATATATTCAATTTTTCTAAACTCACACCTTAACTAAAAAAAATAATAAATTATATATTTTTTACGTCAATAAAATTTATAAAAATATTTTTGTTAAATTCTCTCCAATCTATTTGTGTAAAAACAACTTTTGTTTTAAGCACATGATTATAGACAACGCCTGTTTTTACCAAGGATTTTTTTCTATTTTTTGATAAATTACCCAAAAATTGATTGGGGGAATTAATCCAGAAAATTAAATTAATTCTGGCTTTGATAAAATAACAAAGTTAATTTTTTGGTTAAATTTAAGCAAATAATTTAATAAAGGTTAAAATAAAATTGGAATTATGGTAGCTTATTTCCGGAAATTTTTAATTTTTCCGGAATATTCATGTCAATTTACATATTCATTTGTCATATTTTTCGGTTTCGGAATAATTATGTTTCTGCTGAAAATCATCCAAACTCTCATATTTACATAATATATGAAAATAGTTTTTTAATTATATTTAAGTAAAACATTACTGGCATTTTTCGTAAATAATACACAAAATTAATTGACATATTTTTGAAGAGGATTTTCATACATCCTCAATAATTATTTTATTCTGAGATTTGTATATTTTATATAAATTTATTTATTGGCTATATTTTGCGTTTCCGGAATCTTTTTCAGAAAAAAAATCCGGAAACTTTTTTTTTCCTGAAAATCTTACAAACTTCTTATAATTTACATAATATATAAAAATAGATTTTTAATTATATTTAAGCAAAACATTCTAACAGCTTTGTAGGCATCATAAATGGCTTCTTGATCTTATATTTTTGAAGAGGATTGTTCATAAATCCTCATATAATCAAGTAAAATTAAATTAGCTCTTACGGAAAGTTGTTTTATGTATTTATTATTTATTTTCCGGAAATTGTCTTCTTTTGTTCTTGTTTATGAATTCAAGACAGGACTTTTTCCTTCTCCTGAAAATATCACAAACTTCTTATAATTTACATAATATATAAAAATAGATTTTTAATTATATTTAAGCAAAACATTACTCAACTCATTTCGCGTTGACTCACATTGATGGACTGTATTTTTCAAGAGGATTTTTCATAAATCCTCAAATATAATTGTTTTAGTTTGAAAATTTTTAGTTTTAGTATTAAATTTATTATTGCCGGAAAATTAAAAATTACTTATAAATTTCTAACATCGTAATTTGCTTTTGTTTCAATTTCTTCTATTTAATGAAACAAAATTTTAAAAATTTTATTTTTCTTAATTTTAGTTTGTCCTTTTCTCTTCCTAAAATTCCATTTTCTTTAAAAATTCTTCTTCTTATTTTCTTATTTTTTATTAATAGAATAATAAACGTACTTAACTAATACCTTCCAAAATTGGAAAAAATATATTCAAAAAAGAGTAAATAACTTCATTAGAATTTCCAAATTTTTCCCTTTATACTAGGGTTGCGCCCCGACCCCGACTAACCCCGACCCCGACCCCGAACCCCGACACTTTTTGACCTAAAACCCCGACCCCGACATTCCCAACCCCGAAAACCCCGACCCCCGAAAGTTCGACCCCGACGACCCCGAACCCCGAAAAATTTTTATGACCCCGACTCAAACTGCATTAATTAACTAGAGATCGGAACGGGATCGGGACTTTGATGTTAAATATATGAAGGAAAAGGGAAATGAATATTTATATTTTCTCCTATTTCCTTTTGTTGGTCGGTGGGCGAGTGGTTAGGTTAACTGACTTCACCCATCTAGCTATTTTGATAGGTATGGTGTTCGAATACATCGATTGAAATGAGACTGAGAAAATTTTTCTTCTCAAAAATAAATATTTTTAAACTTTGATCTTGATTTTAAATATGCAAATTTATTTTTTTTAATATTTTAAACCTGAAAAAATTTTAGAAATTTTAAACTAGTCATGAATTTTCCAAAATTTTCACCTGTTGCGTAGAAAATGGAAGAAATCTGTCTCTTGGCCTTCCTAAATTCTAAAAATTTTCGCCTGCGGCGCAGAAAATGGAAGAGATCTGGCTCTTGACCTTCCAAAATTCTCAAAATTTTTGCCTGCGGCGCTAAACTCAATGAAGGGATACAGAGGCTTTAGGAGAAATCAGCTTCCCCTTCCACCTCTGAAGGAGTCAAACAATGCAGAAATAAAAAAAATTTTACTACAAAAAATACAGCAATGCCAACAATTTGTGGCATGGGGAGAGGAGGAGAATGAAGAAAAAATTAATGAGAGATTAATAAAGACGAATGCTTTAGAGGAAGTAATTGAATGGGTTTCCAATAGTTCTTCGAAAAAAATGGAGGAAGAGGACAATTTGAAGCGCGGACTGGTTGATATTGTCCGGTTAAACTTATTCAGGCTGGTATATTGAATAAAAAATACAGCGTGTTAATCTTAAATATCATTTACGGCCAATTTTTTGAGTAGAATTTTTTTCTGAATATTTCCAGTTATGTGGATATTTCTCAACTGATCAGGAACTGACTTTGAAGTACATTTTATTATAGCGAGGATTCGCTAGAAATCCTCACCCCAAAAATAAACACAGAGCTTGGTGAAAAATATTGGCATTTGATTAAATGTTTTGCTTAAATAAAAATTTAAATATATTTTTATATATTATGTAGATAACAAAATTTTTTTTCAGAATTCTTCCTCCAAGCGAAACACAAGATAATTCAACAACAGAAGAACTAACAGATATTGGTCTAGATTCTCGGCTAACATCCAACTCCCATTTAGAGCCTAATTGGCCCCATTTACTTCAAGTTTATCGTCTACTACATTTATTAATTGAAAAATGGAGTGATGGCGATCTTGCTAAATTTACTGAATTTAATTCAAAATTTATTGGAGATTTATTGGAATTATTTCACTCAGAAGACCCCAGAGAAAGACAACAACTCAAAAAAGTGGTTCACACACTCTACAGTAAATTGGTGCCTTTAAGGCCTGAGATACGCAAAAGAATGGGGTGGTTGTTTTTGGAACATGTTTATGAAAGTAGACAGTGTAAAGGAGTTCCTGAAATTTTGGAAATTCTTGGAGATATAATTAATGGGTAAATTATTTAATTTTTTAGTTGGTTTTAGTTGTGTTTAGTAAAGTAACATTTCTTCGACTTCTGGATCTAAGGCAGTTCAATCATATAAAAATTCTTTGTTTTACTTAATATTAGATAAATGAATTCAATTTTATTTAATAAAAAAATTAATTTACCATAAATTTGATTAAAAAATAGAGCCCCGAATTTTTGGAGCGAGGAGTGGATACCAGTCCTCTTAAGAGCTGAGTGTAAACCATAAAAATTACATTACATAATCTTTATTTCAAAATTCGAAAAGATTACCTATTTACCAATTTCCTCCTTGGAAAACGGATTTGTCATTTTTTTCAGAAAGAACCTTTATTTTTTTAAAACTCATTTATAGCTTTCCGGAAATAAGTATTTTGTATTTTTATCAGCTTTTCCTATTTTTCTGGGATTGTATTTTATAAAAGCATCTTCTTAGTAATAATAGAATCCTCCGAATCCTCGATTAATCAAACTCCTTTTAATCCCTTCCTTCTCAACTTCATCCAGAATATTACGATAACATGAAGGGATTTTCTGACAGTTCCTCTTATAATTTAAAAGCGTACTTTAATTTTTTCAGTTTCTGCGTTCCACTAAAACCCGAACATCGCCAATTTTTCTTAAAAATATTACTTCCTCTACACAAGCCAAGAACTTATTTGCTATATTTTGCTCAGCTTTCAAACTGTGTTGCTTTATTTATCGAAAAAGATTTTAGCCTTGTAAAGCCTACTTTTGACTATTTACTTGGAAAATGGCCGAAAGATTATTCGGCTAAAGAAGTAAAATTTTCTTAAAATAAAAAAAAAATAAAAAATATTTTTAAAGGTTTTATTACTAACGGAAATTGAAGAAGTATTGAGTCGAATTGGAAATAATGAATTTAATTTAATTTGTAAGCCACTCTTTCGACAGTTGGGAAAATGCGCGTCAAGTCTGCATTTCAGGGTAATTTAAATATTAGTGAAATAAAATCTTTCCGGAAACCAAAATACGTGTCGGGAAAATGTATTTTATATATGAAAAAAAATTTTTTGTGTTCTACTTAATATTAGATAAATAAATTTTATTTTATTTAATAAAAGTGAATTTCTGTATAACTGCGTGCTCCGCCCGTGCTGCGCCTGGTGCTTAATTTTTGGAGCGAGGATTTTATAACAATCCTCTTAAAATACATTCCGGAACTGATTAATATTTAGTCTCCGGAAAATTCTATTTACCTATATTGGAAAAATTGTATGAAACATTCCGGAAACAAAATACAAACGTTCCGAAAAATGTATTTTTTCCGGAAAATTCCATTTACATCATAAAAGTGTAAAATACTTTCCGGAAGCAAAATACAATTCTTTCCGGAAATAAAATACACTTGAAGAAAATGTATTTTATTTATGACTGACATACTTTCCGGAAAATTTAGTAAATAGTCCCTTGTTTATACCGGAATACTTTAAAATTAGTTCCCGAAGCAAAACACAATTAATTACGGAATGTTTAATAAAATTTTGGGGTTTCTTCAAATTCACAATCCTTATATTTTTAATCTTTATATTTTTCTATCTTTAGGTAGCTGAACGAGCACTCCAATTATGGAACAGTGAAACAATTCTCTCCCTCATCACCCCAAATTACAGCCATTTATTATTTCCTATAATGCTACCAGCATTGTTTAAAGCTAATGAGGCAAATCATTGGAAAAATGAAATTAATAATTTGGTAATTTTTAAATTTATTTCTGAAGGTTTTGAATAATAGAAAAATATAACAATATAGTTAAAGTTAAAGTAGGGATAATAATAATTTCCGGAAATAGAAGAAAAATAAACACACCAATACAATAATACTTTCCGGAAAAATATAACAATATAACTTTGAATAATATAATATAATACATTCCGGAAACACATTCAAAAAATTCCGGAAACTGAACAAATACAAAAATATACATATATTTAAAATATTTTCCGGAAAATAATTTCCGGAAATGACTAATAAATAATTCCGGAAATCTTGTATTTTTACCAAAAATACAAAAAAGCTTTCCGGAAATATAATTAAACTATAAACAGGTGTACAAATCATTAATGAGACTAAAACGAATGGACACAACTTTATTCAACTTGTTGACTTGTGATTACAACGAAAATGAAAATTACTTGAAAATTAAAAAGGAGGAAAATTTATTTTTGATAAAGAAAAATGAAAAACACATAAATTATTCCAATTGTTCAAGGCAACATTTAAATGAAGGGAACAAGGAAGAAGTGAGGGGGAGATGGCTATTGTCTGATAAGGATTTTTAAAAATATTTTTTGATATTTTTTGATAATAAATTTTATGTATTATTTGTGTGTATGTATTATTCGCTGTAAATAATTATGTATTTTTCTGTTAATAAAAAATACAAACTTTCCGGAAAGAAAATACAACCCTGTTGTTTGTATTTTCTTAAAGGGAAAAGTATTTTCCGGAAATAAAATACATAATAGAGAAAATACAAAATTCCCTTTAACAACTTCGATTGGTACCATTACAGACTTGTCGTATTTTTACTACCCATCTAATAGTTTCAGAAATACAAAAGGTGTTGTATAAAAGTCTGAAATTTCGACGACGAACACACCAGTTCAACGGCGCCGGTTCCCGTTACATACAAGGCACACAAAACGCACTCTTCAGTGCGACTCTTCAGCTAGGTTAGATGTCGTGGAAACCTAATGTGACGGTTGTATCCGGTTGGAGTCTGTTGAATGGTGTTAAATTTTTGGGATTTTACTTATTTTTGATTGAAAACTTTTAGTTGCCTTTGCGTTATTAATTCAATTAAGATGACTATAGAATGTAAATTTTTGCGGAAGAAAGGATAGATATGGAAGGGGATTTAAATATTTGCCTGGACAACTGGTTAATTAATGCAAAATCGGAAAAATAATAAAAAAATCCAATTCTAGCTAGAACGCATTAACGAAACCAAAGTCGTATTCTTAATAATCTTCACATTCTTCATCATCAGGTTTTTCGTTCAAATCGAAAGGTATCTCGTTCAAATCAAAGGGATTCATTTTCTTATATGAATCTATTATGTTGTTTTCAAGAATGTTATTTGGCTTGTCTACCTCGATTTCATCATCCTCTCCTTAATTGAAAAGATATACTACCACCATACAAACAATTGGTAATTTACCTCTATCTTCACATATAACATCAACAGGTCCCTCGTTCAAATCAAAAAGATACATTTCCTTATTTAGATCTATGTGATTTCTTTCATCGTCAAGAATTTTATTTAGCTCTTCTACCTCAATTTGATTTTCTCGATCCTCGCCATTATTGCATTTTTCCTGCCCTTGATTAAAAAGAGTATTACCTTCCTCTTCGCAAACAATTGGTAATTTACCTTTATTATTAAAATCACCATTCTGTTTATTAACAAGTGAAGTTCCTTCGTTATTATTAGATTTATTTTTCTTGTTTTGACGGTATTTTCGAAAATATTCTTTGCGCTTTCCTCCGTTATTTTTTGTATACATTTTCTGGTATTCCTGTACCTTTTTTATATTTTTTTGATAGTTAACCTTACTCTTACTTTTTAACCTTTCTTTATTCTTTATATAGTAATTTCGATTGGTCTCAGATACCTTTTCTTTATTTTGTTTTTGGTATTTTCGGCTATTTTCAAGAAGCTTTGCTTTATTTTTTATGTAATATTCTTTATGATATTCACTTCTATTAGACACTTTGTTTTCTCCTTGATCTGTGACATTTTTTGTATTTTTTAATTCTGGGTCTAACGCGTCCCTGTCTTCTCGAATTTGAGGACTAACCGACGATTCAGCCACATCGTTTAACATTTTAGATGCCGTGTAATCCTTTTCAACATGTCTAGCTAATCCTTTTCGAATTGGAGTAGTTTTAATAGATGTCCATAATATTGCATAGAAAACTGAAACGATTAGATAACTAGCAAGTTTCATCTTCAACATTTTTAAATTTAAATAAAAATGAATGAAAAATAATATATTAAATAAAAAATTGCGTTTATATAAACAAGAATTTGTGAGTATGAATAAAAGTGCAATATATTAAGGACATGCGTCCCATGAAATTATACGCGTCCCACGAAAGTATATAGTCCCATCAGAGTATATGTATGCGTCAGTATATCAGTATGCGTCCCATGAAAGTATATGCGTCCCACGGAAGCATATGCGTCCCATGAAAGTATAACGTCCCAAAATTAACATAAGCGCGAAACAATTAGTAAACATTTTTAATTTTATTAATACAATTAAATATTTATTTTATTATAATAGTAAAGCTCGTGCCGGGCCAGGATGGTATTGGGATGTTGAGTAGATTGAGTGCGTAGTTGCGTCGTAATTAATTACGATTACGAATTACGCGTTTTTTGAGTTACGAATTATGATTCCGAAAATATCGGAAAAAATTACGAATTACGAGAATAAAAAATAAATTTCTAATGAAAAGGGAAAGAAAATATTTATATTTTTTACAAAACTTCTATTGTTGATTGTGGTTGAATGGTTTAGAAGTCAGGCTTCTTCACTTTAATATTTTGTGGTCGCAGAAAATCTCGCCAGCGGCGCAGAAAATTCTACAATTGAATTTTTTTTCATAAGGTTTCCCAAAATTTCCAAAATTTTTGCCTGCGGCGCAAAAAAGTGATAAGATCAAGAGGGATATCAAAAGATTAAAAGAAGCCAGGATTTGAAAATTTCTCGGGTAGGGTTCGGATTGAATACCATAACGAAAAATACCGGAGCAAAGATTTCGTTATTCCGGCCGGTATTCTGAATACTCTTAATATGTCTGGGACGATGTATCCGCATGCTTGTTTGAGGAGATATCGGTGGATTAAGGGATTAAGAGGGATATTAGGGAATTACTTGGAAGTTGAAATATTATCAGAGAAATAAGAGGACTTAGAGGGGTAATGGGAGCCGAATCTTTTATTAATATTTGATTTTTTAAATTAATTTAAATATTTTTTATAAATTACGAATACGGCATTTTCTGAGTTACGAATTATGATTACGAAACTTAAAAAAAAATTACGAATTACGATTACGAAAAAAATTTTCAATTACGACGCAACTCTGATTGCGTGCGATGTTAAGGGGCCCAAGAGGCAGTGCCGGTGAGCATGCCTTTCTATGCGCTTGTATAATGTGGTCGGTTACGAGACTGACTTGTTCGGGATTTTTAAAGATCAGAAATTTTATTATTTGTATGTATTGTTTGTAATAATAATTTATTTATTTTTCTGTTAAATAAAAAATATAAACTTTCCGGAAAGAAAATACAACCCTGTTATTTGTATTTTCTTGAGGTAAAAGTATTTTTCCGGAAATAAAATACATAATAAAGAAAATACAAAATTCCCTTTAACAAGTCCGGGTGGTACCATTACAGACCTATGGTATTTTTACTACCCATCTAATAGTTTAAGAAATACAAAAGGTGTTGTATAAAAGTCTGAAATCTCAAACAAAGAACACACCAGTTCAACGGCGCCGGTTCCCGTTACATACAAGGCGTCTACACAAATTGCACCTTCAGTCTACCTATATTTAACAACATCTTCATAAATTTGCGTATTTGTGTAGAAGCCAAATTAGGTGTCGAGGAAACCTAATGTAACGGTTGTATCCGGTTGGAGTCGTTGACTGGTGTTTACTTTTTAATTGAAAATTGTAATTTGCTGGACTCTTGTTGAATTTTTTAATGTTTTTTTTAATGTTTCTTTAGATTAGTACATTTACCGATTAACATAATTTTTCTGCTTCAGCACTTATGTACAGCTAAGTATTTTGCTGTCAAGAAATTAGCGGGTATGAGATTTAGAGATGTGAGATTCAATTATGTTGACACTTGGACCAGTACTGGTATTGTACATTAAGCTGTCCCTTCCGATGTTTTCCAAATCATACATAGCT